TTATAAGATTTAACAACACGTATGCCTTTTCCCCCACAACTCATGAAAGTTTTTTTTTTTTTACAAATGTTTTATGTTAGATGCAACCTGGGCTTGAATCTGCTGCTCTGACCACTGCTGCCTTTAAACTAACTCAAAAATCTGTTTTAATAGGCTAAATTGCAGTGTTGTACAAAGTACCACAAAGTAATACTTGAGAAAAAGTTCGTTATCTTACCAAAAAATTCCTTTGGTAAAAATTAAAGTCTCTTTAAGGAACATTACTTGAGTAAAAGTCTTAAAGTATCTGATATTTTTTGTATTTAAGTATTAAAAGTAAAAATATGGATTTAAAATGAGCAGTTAGATTTTCTGTATTGACATTTATTAGGAGGTGACCTCCCCAAAAACTGCAGAAATGACCATATTGTATTAAAAATAATTAATTTATGTTGAATTTAAGATGCACTAGTCCAGCTGTTTCAGTTTATATTCATATATCAAAGCTGCACAAACCTTTTCCCCAAAATAAAAATCTATCTGAGGGCTGCGGTCAAATGCAATAATATAATTCATGAAATACAAATACTTCTTAAGTACAGTCATTTTATTTTAATGATTATGTCCTGCTGGAGTGTGACATGATTTGTTTGTGTACAAACTAATACGCTATCAGAGTTTTATATGTTTATTCTTCTCATTCAACCATAGTTAAATTCATTTTATCTAGGAGGCACAGTTTATATGGATAGTATTTATTTTTTACAATAACAAGCTGGAAGGAAAACAAGCAAAATGAAATAAAAGTAACAACTTTCTACTTCCTGGCTTTTTAAAAAAATGTAAGGAGTAAAAAGTAGGCTGAAAAAGAATTACTCAAGTATAGTACAGATACCCAAAAATTCTACTTAAGTACAGTAACAAAGTATTTGTACTTARTTACTTTACAACTCTGCTAAATTGTCATCTCTACCTCACTGAGTCAAAACTTTTGTATCATTTTGAGAAGCATGATGATTAAACAGTTGTTCAAAATTCTTATTTCTCATTTTAAATTTGAGCTTTGAGCCAGAGGTAATGCATGTTTCACATGATCAGCTTTCATTCAGGAAGACTGTTTTGTTGTTGTTTTTGCTGTGATCATTTCATTTGATTGAATTCTTAATAAATCATTAAACATATGCAACAGATTATTACTAATAATCTGCTTTTAGGGTTAGGAAAGCACATTTTATCAACTACAAACCCCAGATGATAGAGTTTTTGATGTGATTTAGGAGCATTTTTTGCACGATCAGCTGTTCTTCAATATCTAATCCATAAGAATGAAGTTCAAAACTCCTGACGTAGCGTTTCTCCGTTTGATGCCTGTTTTTATGTACAACAACTGACATTTTTCCTCCCGGCTCTTCTCAGCGCGGCGAGACTGGATGAAGAAAAGACAAAACAGAAACCAAAGGAGGACTCATGAATGAATGCAGCTGCTTTTCAGACTTTCTGCAGACAAAACCTGCAGGGAGAGCAGCAAGAGAGCAGGAAGGAAAGGGTGAAGTGTGCTTTTCAAAAACAAATTGTGTAATCCTGAGCGTGTTACTGAGAAAAGGCAGATCCGTGACCCGTGGGCTGAACTTTCAGCTGAGTTCAGTGTCCAGCAGCACAGATCTGCTGAAGTGTTTCGCACCACAGTCTCAGGAGGTTTTAAACTGTGTCTCCGTAATTTGCTCCTCTCCCAACTTCCTGGCGTTTTATTTAACTCCACCACCGTAATTAAATGTTGGATTCATTCTATGCAAATGTAAAAAATGCATGCAGCTCTAGTTCTCTTCAATTTTTTATGCTCCGCTGAAGAAAATCTTGCAGTTTTAGGTCATTCTTATTCACAAAAGCTGGAATTACTTTTTTTTAAATTAATTATTTTTCAATAATGTATGCTATGCAAAAACAATATGATTTATTTTTAGGAGTAATTAAATAGGGCTCAGTTCAAACATGTCACCCGCTGCCTTTTATCTTAATATTAGTAAGTAAGTTTTTGTGATTTATTAGCACTCCAAGTGTGTGATTGGAATAATTCTCAGTTACCACCACACCAAAATTTAGGTAAGTATCGTAAAATATGACATATTGATAGCAATTTTTCCATTTGATCATGGTTGTGTTGGCCATCTTGAATCAGGTTGACTCCAAAATGTAATCAGTTGAAAAAAAAAACAAGTTCAGTGTTTACTTTATGAGAGTTTCTGTACAACTTGCTTAAGTGGTTTATGGAATATTTTGCTAATAAACACCACCACCCACTGTCATGATAGGCAGGTGGTAAAAATGCTTGATCTACAAGCGCTCACAGAAAAATCTTTACACTAAATAAGTTGATCACGTCTGTGTAAAACTCAGGCTGGTTTATTTCTGTGGAAACCTTTAAAATTGATGTTTTTGTGYTTTTTTCCAGCTGTGGCTCAGGAGGAAGAGTGATTGTCTGGTGATCAGAAAGTTTGCTTTTAAGACTCAAAAAGTGCTACAAGTTCCCCTTTTTTTCAAGCCAGTCAAAAGTACAAAAACAGCCAACAGAATGCTTGAAAAACCAGCAAAATGATCAAAAGAAAGAGTGAGAGCAGCAAACTGTAAGGACAAGAGTTGCTTGTTTTAACCAATCACTGGTCAAACATACAAAAGACAAACTGAGTCCGGACTGATCCAGAGTTTGTTTGTGTTGTGATCCCAGCTGCTGGCAGTCACACATCGTGGTGCAGAGGAAGAGGAGTGAAAAGACTCAGAAATCACCCACATTTCAGCTTGATCCAATTTGTACTCGTGCCACTGGAGCAGTTTTATCTTTCTTATGATGCATGATTAACATTGTCCCATTGTTTAAATGTTATGCTTGCCGTAGTGCTGCAGACTATTAAAATTAAAAGGCCAACAGAGCTGTCATTATGATTATTGTGACATTTTGTTTTATTAGGACAAATACATTGTAAAATGGGTGAATTTTCACTAAGTATTTTTTATTAGTATTGCTGGTCTTAAGGCAAAAGGGTGACAACGTTTGCTTGTCTGTTGTGATGACATCAGGCAGATTTCAGTGAAACTCTCAAAAAGATGTAAATCTTTTTTTGGAGGACAAAGTCAGTTTAAACTTTAAACACAAATGCAAAGTGCCGACAGCCTGAGCTGCTGTACGCCCTGCAGCTTAAGTAGGTTGAAAGTTTCCAAGTTGAATTTTTTTTATCTGTAACTTTTCTGGTTTCCACAGCCCCGACCTCCAGCTACAACGTTGACCTTTTAAGCTGATACCAGCCCGAACACGGCTTCGGATCCTAATGGAGGGCTTCATTTTTTTGGGCAGCCTTTGCCTTAAACAGAGCAAGCGGCAGGGCTTTCACTGTCACAGGCCGGATGACTTTGTAAAGCTTAGACTATAAGTCAATGTCATCCTTCTAAATCACCTCTCAAAAGCCATCTGCACAAATGGGCTTGTATTGCTTGTGCCGTCACCCAAGCCCTCCTCAAACGGATGCTGGTTTAAGAAAAAGAGGCAGGGTGGTAGGGGGAGCGGTGCAGGAAGAATAAGCAAACAAGTGCAAAAGCAGACAGGGACACAAATGGATGTCTGGATGGAAGACTGTTGAGGAGAGGAATGGAAAAGTCCTGAATGCTGCTGCAGCAGGGCGTGCTGACGTGAGGAGTGTTCCCAAACACAGTTAGTAGCGACTGCGGACCAACTGCATTACCATACTCTCTCTCTTTCTCTCTTTCTACACACACACACACTGAGCCTATGGGGAGAAGGCTGCTTGCAGCCATGGCTGAATAGAATGGGGACAGACTCTCCTGTTCTGATCCTGAAGAGGTCACTGTGCACTCCAGCACCAGCTGTGTGTTTATGTTCAAGTGCAGCTTGCAGGTGAACAAATGCCATTTCCTTTGGACACTCRTGCATCATCTACAGGTGTGTTGAAGCCATGCATGTCCATGCACTGATGATCTTCTGTAGTGTGCCCCCCCCCCACCCACCGCGTGTGTGTTTCCTCTCCTCCATCCCTCCCCCTTTTTTCTTTCTCTTTCTCTCCTCTCAGAGCTAGGTGCGTATCATTGGATCAGTAGCTGCTGCCTGCCACAGTGTCCAATCGCATCTAGGAGGAGAGAATAGAGAGAAAGAAAGGGAGGCAGTGAGAGGGAGATGGGGGGAGGAGAAAGAAAGGAAGGGAGAGAGAGAGAGAGAGAGAGAGAGAGGGAGGGAGATTGATGGTTTAAACGTCCTGGGCCCTGCGTTCAGAGGAGAAACACTTCAAATTCCGGACAGATTTTAGGAGATTTCGCACCGTTTTTTTATTCCCAGCCCCCTCCAGGGGTTGTCCTTTCCTTTGACATTTTTTTCGTTCCTTTCTTTCTTATTTGGATTATTTCCACCCAGGAAGACGTGCCACTATACCAGCACGAGCACCGGCAGCAGCCTACAGGAATATCTCCCCACCACATATCCCATCCCGGGCACGTCGGAGGAGCCGCAGCGGCGGAGGAAAAAAAAAGAAAAAGAAAAAAAATTGAAAAAGGCAAGGAGGCGAATTTTGCGGAGAGGAAAAGAAGCATGCGCCGCGGGATTTTACACCTCTCAGCCTGCCTGGGTACGGTGTTCCCTACGTTTTCTTCTTTTGCTTTACTGCGGCGAGGGATGCAGATTCTGATGGTTTTTTTTTTTTTTGCATTTTTCCTCTGTGTGTGTGCGCGCGCGCGTGATAAATGAATGTGTGTGTTTTGCTGTAGTCAGCTTCATTGTCGATAGAGAGTTAGACAGGACATTCTGCCTCGCAAGCAAATCCCCCCCCCC